CGTTCTTTCAGTAGAGAGAGCATTGAGGGGGAGGGGGAGGGAGAGATGGCTTGTATGGTGATGTTACACAGTGGGGGCGAGAAACCCATCTCATCGAAGAGGGCACTAAGTCTATTGTTCTAGCGAAATGATGTCTCTGTGATGTACCAGTGATAGAGAAGATCCACTCCATCTGTATCCATCATCGAAAAGTGTAAAAAGACTCCGCCGAGAAGAACAGGGCACCCAATGACGGTTCAGAGTCCCAGATTCGATAGCTTACTGCTCATCGGGATCTTTGTCTAGAATCTTACTTCGATCACGAGACGACGATTGGGTTTCACATGGAGTGGACTTGTCATTTCAAATCATCGACATCCATCTATCTGCAATCCATCGCAGTGGGGACAGCAGGACTAATTTCTCAAATGATGATCGTAGGCCCACTAAAGTATTATCAGATACCATCTCGGCAGGTGAGGTGTACAACTTAGCAGGGGTCCAGCTCCTTTTGGTATCCAAGCCAATCATCTTGATTCTCAGGGGCCTCTCAAGGCAGAATTCCATCTCTGCTGTGTGACAAGGCCTTATCCGAGGCCTCATCCCTGACGTGATTTTAGTCTCTCGTTCCCTCCATTACCGTAAGGTCTTTCGAAGGATTTGGTCGACTCTCGAAAATCCCATGGGCCATATTCACGGATCTCTCTCACATCTTTTAATTCAACTTCAATTCCCCCTATCAACCGGTACTTCGAAAATTATGGGGGAAATTGCCCAGTCTCAATGAGACAGAGCTACAATGCTCCAACCAGCAGCTTTATCGTTGGCGCATGGTATTTTAAATTCCGTGTCGCCTTCACCGGCATAGCACGTTGATACATCATACATACAATTGGTGATAAGCGGGTACCCACACAGATTCAGCGGAAGTAGTTTCCCTTGATTCCTCTGTACTCTATGGTGCTCAGGGACCGAATTCATGGAGATCGACCGAGACCGATCCGGATAGGATAAACCTTCTGGGATAACCTTCAACCAATGGGCACTCAACCACGTAGTCAATGAGGGAGGGAGGGAGGGGGGGGGATTCTTTTCTTGGGCGTTCTTTGATGCAGGGCTATTCAGCCGTAAACCACTCAAGCGAAGGAAGTTTCTGTTGGCCAAAAATGAAATGGTAGGATTTCTGTGGTCAACATAGGGATCGGGATGCGAAGATGTTGCACGAACACCTCGGTATCTCGAACGACTACAGAGAATTTGTAGCACAAATTAAGGGGTCTCTACCTTTGTCTCCAAGACTGGAGAGATACACCGAGATTTAAAAAAAAATCACTCCACCGCGGCAAGCATTCAGTCGGTCAGCTAAAAATGAAATCTAGGTTGGGACAGGCAGCAAGCAAACCTCGTCCCTCGATCGTTCAATCGTGCACATCGGCTATTTCCGCAAACCCTTGTGGATTCCCCATGATGGAGCTCATTGACATGATTACTTGCCTGGGAGTGGCCATTATATCAAGCGATAGAGCTGCGGTCCAACGGCTGATCATTGAATTGAATATCGTATAAATGAGAGGACAGACTGCTTTTCGTTCTAACCCAGTTCTTGGAACCTTGCGGATTTCTGCCCGGAAGGAACTTAATCTCACCGGGATGCAGGGCACGAGATGATGTAATCTGGGAACCCCCTCCTTACGTAGGGAGCGGAACATCGAACGAGGCCGTTTTTTTCTGGGTTGCAAAAAGATATAAAGAAACCTCAAGGTGCCATGAAATCAACATCCGATGAACCAGATGGGGTTTGGTGATGCTGGATCAAGAACCGGCCTCTATTGCTGTGGGTGATCCTGACATCGTTGATTAAGCTAGATGTCCTCAAGCACGATAAAATTCCCCGAGAGCAGAAACCATTCATCTACCCTGGATATCCCTAATCCTGGTCGATTTCCAGCGCAGGTAGATCCGAGGTCGAAATCCGTGAGGGGGCCCGACCCCGACCCATCACCGAGATTTTGATGCCCCGGGCGGGTGAAGAAAGCTTGGCGTTGAGCGGGGGATTGGAGATTCGAGAACACTTGGAACCCTTGGGATCTAGAGCAATCGATCTAGGTGGTGCGTACTTTTGGAAATTTACTCATTTGGAGGGAGACCGTGGAGACAAAAACCAAAAAGTTTCTCTGAAGCAGCAGTGGATTTTTTTTTCTCTAGATCATCTAAGAGAGACATTCGCAACGTGCATATCGTGATCAAAGCAATGGCTCACGGTGCCAGGGGGTGAATGGATTCAAATCATCCAAGCAAAACCAGACCCCACAAAAAAAAAGACACAACAAACAATAAAAATCCATAACGGGTATACGCTTAGATGCAAATGCATGACATGTGAAAGGGAAAGACCATTGTGGCCCGGAAGTCCTCGGCATCTAGCCAGGAAGTAACTCGGTCCATGTTGAGAGGTTCAGGGATGGCGGACATCAATACTCAACCTGGTATTGAGAAGATGATGTCCGACCGTGGTAAGGGAGCAAAACCAAAAAAAGGGCCGAGGAAGTAGAAGACATCAAGTCTTGAGGAATGGAAGGGATGTTGGAAAAAATAGAAAAAAAAGGATCCTGGAGGTGAAGAAAGTAGGGTTGAGATGAGGTATAGATCAAGCGCAGACCTGAATGGCGATCAAGGCGCGGGCGAGATCCTCGGGGGCGAAAGGAAGGTGCTTCCGGGCGGAGATAACGCACGGAGTTAGAGCGGGCGAGATAGCATGGACGAGGGGGGATGAGTAGCGAATGGACTCCTTGAGGAAGAACTTGGGGTCCTTTGAATCTTCTGGGATCTCGTAGATAGAGCCTTCGTTGATGAGGGTCATCATTGAGCCATTATAGCTAGAGGGGTCGACGATGGTAGAGGACTGAGAACCGGAGCCAGGGCCGCGTGGCGATGATTCAGCAGGGATCTCGGGATTGGAGGAAACTGTCGGGGAAAAAAAAGGGTCAGAACGTAAAAAAAAATATTGCATGGACTTCGATAAGGGCACTACGTACCTGGATCCACATCCTCCGGGGACACCGAGTTGTCAGATTCGGATGGGCCGGAGTAACCGTCGGATCCTTCACATGTGGCGAAAGGCGACAGGGAGACTTCAAATGAACGAGGTCGTTCGACCATCGCCCCCTGGAAGGACCACGCGGCTAGGCTCTTCTGGTGAGCACGATCGAATGGACCACGAAACTTCGAGGGAGGACACTCGTGTCGTCTGTAATATTCGATCTTGGGCTTCGCAGTATTTTTGGAGGAGCGGAACACCCGCTTGACCTTCTCGCGGAACGTCATACTGAAAAAAAAAGAACTGTGAACTTTTTAAGAGATTCAAGATTCAAATTCAAGAAGTTCAGAGATCAATGCGGGCAATTCCTGGGGAAAAGGCCTCAGTGCATACCACTCCCGGATTGGGAACGGACGCGGTGGGTGTGCAAGCACGAAGAGCGGGGGGTTGGAATCAGTAACAGTTTGAGCATTCTACTAAAATATAGAGAGGGAGGTAAGGTACAAGAGAAAAAAGGCGACAAGAGAGAGGGAAATGTGGGAATTATAGTCGACATTTGATGTGGATGCAACGGCAACAGAGATAAGCCAGGGTGGGATGGAGGTCCGCGTTCCCCAGAAGCATCTCCGGTCCATATCCGGTGAGGATATTGGGGCAAGATGGTATTGGCCTCCTCAAATGGAATCCACTGTCTGTGCGAGACATAGATCATTTATCCTATTCGCCCTGCTCGCTTTGGTACATCACGTTCATCAAGACATTCTCCGATGTAGTGTGTAGATTCAATGGATGGAGTACGGATTACTGTGTGTATGGATCTCGGCACCCTCGACAGATTTAATCCCCGAGCACCTCTCGACCCGAGAAACGGTCAAGTCTGGGTCAAGAAATCGCAGTGATTACTCCGGACACAGATAGGACTTGCAGATAGTGGTAACTGGATCCTTCACCCTTCACATTGTATGTCACAGACTAAGGATCATCAAGGATAACCCAGTAGTACTCCGTATAGTAGAACATGATCCGAGAGGTCCAGTGGCGTACTGCAGCGAAGGCTTCCAGAAATTCGGGGAGAGGTTCATAGTTACATCATTCCCAAAAAGTTGAACAATAAAAATGTGTCACGAAATGTCATGACAATTGCCAACGGACGGGAATAAACCGGAATCGGAGTGGATCTTGCCTGGCTCCGACCGCCCCCACTCGGCACGTTCTTGCCGCATTTGCCTGTCCACTGGGAGAAAAGTGGTTAATAAAACACTTTGGAGCCAAAACTTATACCTCAGGCCGGCTGGCCCAGTGGCAAGGCGCTTGACTACGAATCAAGAGATTGCAGGTTCGATCCCTGCGTCGGTCACTTCATTTTTTCCCCCCCTCCTCTCTCGATCAACTGATCTCAGCTCTGTCTGTCTTTTTGATGTGTCCTCTTTAACTTTTTTTTATTTTGCGTATCCGACATTACATTGATGACCTCATAGTTTATAATCAAAGACCAAGTTGGCCTGATTTGAGTTCCATGCTGGACATGCATGCCATAACGCCTCAACCCACTGTCGCGCAATAGATCGTACACAAAGTAGACCTAGTGGGGGTGCCAGTTCTGACTCTATTGGAGGTCCTTTCAAAGCCATGGATCTTGCATGTTGCTCATTTTGCCTTTTTTGTTTTACCGTTCTGTTTTATGATCACAATGGTTTTGTCCTTTGTGGTCTCTTACAGAGTCCTGTTTCAGAGGTGATGTAATTGCTCTTTTGCCCTGGACCCTTTCTCCAGGACCGGTCTCAAAAGTAAAAAATCAAAAATAACGGCAGACGTCGGCTTTGCGCCTTTCCCCAGATCATCCGTGAGCCCCCTGATTGCCCTGATTAACCTGATCAATTGCCCCTGAACGCCCTAGTTGTGCAGGCACAGCCCTATTTACCCAATGCAGACATTAGGGCTGGCCCAAGCTCACACGACCAGACAACTATGAAAGAGAAATTGCATGCGGAGGAATGTAGAGCAAAAAGAGAAAGAGAAAGAGAAAGACAGACGTAACGATTTCAAGTCCGTGAATTTGAATGGGAAATCGAATGCATTTGAATCTTTCGAATCTAATAATAGCCGACAAAACTAAGAAGTCGAAGACGAAGGAAAAAAAAAAAAAAAAGAGATTAAATTTGTGACACTTTTAATGTTCCAGAACTGTCCTCACCACGGATCCAAGAACCCTAGAGAAGAGAACATACCGCGTCATCCCTTACTTGACTTCTTCCTTCCTGCACCTCACCACTATTGTAAGTTAACTTATCTGTCCTCCATATTCCACCTTCTGACTAGCGCAGAATCAATTCACTCTCAACCATGGCCAAGAAAGGAGGAAAGAAGAACAAGAAGGGCAGCAAGCCCGCTGTTGCCGCTGTAGACAACGTCAAGGACGTGGTGTGAGTTGAAAATTTCGAAATCATGCCATATCACCATCTAATTCTTCAGTGAACCCGATAACGAAACTGTGGACGAGACCAACCACACTGAAGGCCAGATTGAGACCGTCGAGCCGACAGAGACGCCCGAGATTGCAACACAACCTTCCGAGACCGTTGCCGAGCCCACCCCCGCGACCGAGGCCTCCGGAACTGAGATCCCAGCTGTGGTGGAGACCGAGGAAGTCAAGACCAAGGAGGCTGTCAAGGCTGAGGAAGCACCCGCGACAGAGAACAAGGGTACGGTGGAGGAGGCCGTGGAGAAGGCGCAGGCCTCCAAGGCCGGTCAGTTGGGCGAATTGGAAGGTGGCGCTGCCGCCGGCACTGGTATGACGCGTGTTAGCACAAAGGCGACATAGATTTCAACTAACCTGGAAAACTGCAGCTGTCCTCCCGGAGACGACCACCAAGGAGCCCGCTTCCTTGGCCGCGACCGGCATTCCCGAGACATTGGCCGAGCGCCCCACGACTGCGGCATCAACCGAAGTTCCTGCTGTTGTTGCGCCCGCGCCTATTGCTGCCCCCGTCGAGACCGATGCTATCCACCCCAAGCGCCCGTATGAGAAGCCCATCTTCAACAACGAGGAGAACTTGAAACCCCACAAGATGCCCAAGACCGACGAGGAGGCGCTCGCCCACAGCGTGGCGGAGGACAAGAAGACTATTGAGGTTTTGGCCGGTGCTGGACCCGCTTCCACTGCTGCGTTCACAACCCCTGAGCCTGTGCCTGTTCAGGCCGAGGCACGCAAGCTTGCCGAGACCCCTCAGATCGCTGAGGAGAAGGTCGAAACTCCCGTGATTACTGAGGAGAAGGCCGAGGCACCCAAGGCTGTTGAAGAGAAGGACGTCGAGACTCCTGTGGCCGCCGAGGCACCCAAGGCTGTTGAAGAGAAGGTCGTCGAGACTCCTGTGGCCGCCGAGGCACCCAAGGCTGTTGAAGCGAAGGTCGTCGAGACTGCTGTGGCCGCTGAGACACCCAAGGCTGTTGAGGAGAAGGTCTCCGACGAAAAGGTCGAGGTACCTACCGTTGCTGAGGAGAAGATCCCCGTCGAATCCGCCTCCAAGAGCACCCCTGCTCAGACCGGCACCGGCAAGCCTGCCTCCTCTCCTATAGCGGTTGCCGCCGCGAACGCTGCCATTCTCTCTTCCAAGAGTGACAAGGCTGCTGCTCCGGCCGCCCCGGCTATCACCAAGGAGGCTGAGGTTAAAAAGCCCGAAGCTGCCCTGAAGCGTGGCGAGGAGCCTTTGCCCAAGGCTGAGGAACCCAAGCCCGAGACCAAGGCCGAACCTGTCAAGCAGGAGGCTGGCAAGGCCCAGCAAGAGACTCAAAAGAAATCTGAGCCCTTAGCAGAGCAGGTCGAGAAGAAGAAGGGTGGCTTCATCTCCTGGTTGAAGCGCAAGTTCAAATGAGTCAACTACTTGCTGTAGGGAGTAAGAGCATGATCTGCGCTGTACGCTAGTTGGGGATATTGGGGGTGAGGGGCTTGCGGGGTACTTCAGGCTGCCTCAGGCTTTGTTTTTCTTTCTTTTGTCAGGCTTTGATGATACACCAGTTGAAATTATATATCAGAATCAGAATCATAGTGTTAATTGTTCATGGTCCTGACGCCTTGTAATCTCATAACTCTTTGTTCGAAGTTGATGGCCTCAGGGTTGCTCGAGTTGCTAAGCTCGTTATTTGACGTACACCGCTTGTCAGGCGTCAAAGTATAGTACACTATCTCCAGCAGTGACTTGATCGTCTCCCTACTTATGTGCCTCACAATTCTGGTTACAGTCGTATTTTATCTAAAATGGCTTTCACTTTGGTATTCTAAGATTCGAAAGTTTACTGATGGCATACCGCTTTTGGTTAGACATCATCACAGTTATCCACGGCTGCTCTAAGGTCAATTGTGTAGACTAACCAGCAGCGAAACTAAGCCTATGCCTCTTCTCCAACTCAAGCAGATCTCTAATCATAACCCCCATCGACCAGCAGTATAACACATACGACCATAGGGTATGGAATAGACTGCGACATCGCCCATGGACGGGCGGGTAGGCACTACCCACGCCTTATATAAGCGGGAAATGGGCCCTACCCTTAGGGCCCATAGGCCTTGGGCGTTGTGGGCGCCCGTAGGCCTTTTTAGTAAGCAGAATTTCTTAACCTCGTGATATTTATTATTTATACATTTTTTTTCTACATGTTTTTAAGTAATTTAATTTTATGTATAATAACTTAATACTACTATTAATTTTCTAACCTTAGTTAGAAATGAGTAGGTGTCACGGTGCGAACCGTGATGCTTAGTAAGAGGAAGATCATGACACGTGATCTCCGACCTGTTTATCTGAACTTCAGTTCTAGATCCTGTTGTAGCTCTTTGAGCTACGTCTTGTATGATAGCCTGCTCCTGCCTGTACCTGTCAAGTGGAATCTGATCTGTTACGACCTGTTCCTACCAGTCATCTCCTGTCATACCGTCCTGCCAGCCCGCACCCTGACACTAAAACTACTGGCTTTTCTACATAACTTATGCATCTCACGAGGTTAGTCGTGTTTACACTGTTTTACAGTGCTGTAGCACTCCCGCTGCAGCACTGCAGCACCAAACCAAGTGTCTGGTGCTGCCAAGCCTTGGTGCTGCAGCACCGAACCAAAGGCCTAGTGCTGCGGGACTTGTCAAGGCCTAGGTATACCTGTAGACCGTGGGCGTTATAGATAGGCACTCGAAAATCTAATTAGCCTACCGCCTACCGTGGACGGGCGATGTCGCAGTCTAGTAAAACCTATCTCCTCCCCTAGGTATATATACTTTTCGAATAGCATAGGAAAGATATTAGCCACTATAGACAGTTTAGGCGAATCGCGATATTCGTAGTATAGTAGTAGACATCCTGCCGGGTCAATTACTAAGTTAGGGACTAGATTATATTCCGATTTTACCCTAGTCTAGGTCTTACAACTGAAGTTTGCCAACTGATGGGTATGGATTGCTTGAAATTCGTCTTGATCCATGCCGATCTCGGTCCTGGAAACATGGCTGGGGAAGATATGCCGAGGGCAGGCACTATTGGGATCCTTGATTGGGAAAATACTGGTTATGTTTCAAGAGGATGGATGCGAGCCAAGTTTTGGTTGAGTGGTGGATTGGATCTTCCTAATCCGGGCGCTGGTGAAAAGTCGCACAGGTCAGAGGTTCAAAAGTTACTAGAGAAACATGGATACGGTAGACTGGGCGTTATAGTGGTATTGAAATGCTCTATTTTAACTAGCACTTGACTGGTGCGCTACTATAACGTTACATTTTCACAGTCTTTTACAGAAACTAGCTGCCATAACCGCCCATCACCTGGACTGCTTAGCCCTCCTTGATCTGGTACATTCAGAGATCCAGCACCGTTCCACGCAGAGTGATCGGACACTGTAACTAATCATTAGCAGATTTTCTGGATTGACCAAGGCGTTGGGGTATCGGCTGGCAAAACAGTCGTAGGATTGGTGGTAGTAGTCACGATGGAGGCTGCGCCGAAGGGACTGGAAGATCGACAGGTCAGGCAGCAAGGTAGCCCGGGAGATAATCTGTCTGCACAGCAAAAATCCAGAGGAGCTAAAAATATAGCATAGGCTCATAGCTTGTAGTTTCTCAGATCAGTTGAAGATGTGTTTGTAGATGTTCAATGTGCACAGTAGGTCTGGCTGAATCTATAAGCGGGGTCCCCGCATGTGGATTACAAAGCTTACCTCGGTTACCTTGAAAGAAGTGCATAAATCTGGTGGGAGGAAGAGGGAAAGTCGACATTCCTCACACGTTACCATCTTCGAGATGATATCCCTTCCGCGTAAGCTATGGCAGCATCCTGCCCCAGAGTCGACCGAGATGGGTCAATTCCAGCGAGACCTAGAAAAATCCACTGGACGCAAGTTCGACGTGAGTGAAGTTGGCCTGTATAAAGATGTCATCTAACTTGTCTCAGTCCTTTCATGATATGTACCTGTACTCAATCAAGAGCCGTTCAGAATTCTGGGACTTCTCCTGGAAATACTTCCAACTGATCCACGAGGGCTCCTACACAAGGGTAGTCGATGAGTCCGCTCGAATGGACAGTGTACCCGAATGGTTCGCCGGTGTGCGTCTGAACTTCGCCGAGAACTTGCTTTTCTCGCGTATTTCTGGCGACAGAACAGACAAGGAAGACGACAAGATCGCCGTGAGCGAAGTCCGAGAAGGCGCTGCGCATGACGTCGTTCATCTTACCTGGGGTGAGCTTCGACGACGGACTGGAGCGCTGGTACAGGCTATGAAGGCCCATGGGGTTGTTCGGGGTGATCGCATTGCTCTCTGTGCGTCAAATAGTATTGACACACTACTTGTGTTCCTGGCATCAACGGCTCTGGGTGCGATCTTCTCGTCTAGTTCCACCGACATGGGTACTAAGGGTGTCCTGGAAAGACTGCTTCAGATCAAGCCTCGCTGGCTGTTCATGGACGACTTCGCGGTTTACAGAGGCAAGACCATTGACTTGCGACCGAAGATTGGGGAACTTGTTCAAGGCATGGACTCTGGTCTTGAATTTGAGGGAGTCATCTCACTACCTCGGTTCTCTACGCGGCCGGCGGATATCAGCTCCATCCCTAGGACCAAGACTCTCGCGGAATTTCTCGCAAAGGCGGGTGGCAACGAGAAACTGGAATTTGAACGAGTCGGATTCCGAGATCCTTGCTTGATAGTTTACTCGTCTGGCACGACAGGGCAGCCGAAATGTATTGTCCATTCCGTGGGCGGCGTGCTTCTGAACTCGAGTAAGGAGGGAAGATTGCATAGTGAATTAGGCCCTGATTGTGTCACCTTACAATACACAACCACTGGTTGGATTATGTATGTGGTTGCCTTGCAGACTTTGCTCTTAGGAGTGCGGGTGGTGCTGTATGATGGAAGCCCATTTATTCCAGGTATCACTGCGTTGGTTGATCTTGCAGCACAAGAGAAGTAAGTTGCCCTTTTGTTGACATCAATTGTACATTTTTACAGACCCAGCCTAAAAAAAAATTGCAGGGTGACCCACCTGGGAATATCACCCAGATGGCTCCATGAGCTACAACAGGCTAAAATCAAACCTCGTGAAAAAGTTGACCTTAGCTCTTTACGTGTTGTCACAAGCACCGGCATGGTCCTGCGAGATGAATTGTTCGAGTGGTTCTACGACGAAGGGTTCCCACCCCATGCTCGCTTGAATAACATTTCTGGCGGTACTGACATCGCAGGATGCTTTGGAACCGGTAACCCTCTTGTCCCGCTGTATGTTGGCGGATGTGCCGGATGCAGTCTGGGAATTCCCGTGGAGGTTTACGACTCTACAATCGAGGGCGGTAACGGAATCAAGGGTGTGCCCGTAGAGGAAGGTGTTCCGGGAGAATTGGTCGCCACGTCTGCTTTTCCCAACATGCCCACTCTGCTGTGGGGTGACGAGGGAGGCAAGAAGTACCATGATGCGTATTTTGGGAGATTCGATAGTGGGCAAACTCCACTTCTTCATCAACCTATGCACTAAGGTCGCTAATTCTATACAGATGTGTGGACACACGGCGACTTCGTTTCGATCCATCCAATCACAAAACAGATCGTGTTTCACGGACGCGCCGACGGGGTCCTCAACCCATCAGGAGTACGGTTTGGATCGGCCGAGATCTATCGGGTACTCGAGGGTCAATTTTCGAAAGAGATCGTTGATTCCATATGCGTAGGGCAACGACGACCAGTGGACACGGACGAGAGAGTGATGCTCTTTTTGCTCTTGAGACCAGGGGTAGCGTTTACACCAGACCTGGTTGCACGAGTGAAGAGGGCAATTCGTACAAAGCTAAGCTCCCGCCATGTACCGATGTTCATGTTTGAGACACCTGAAATTCCGGTGTGTACTTTTGTAAGGAAAACAAGATCTGCCAAAGCGGGACTGACCCACGTGTATCGTCACAGACTACGGTCAACCTGAAAAAGGTGGAGCTCCCTGTGAAGCAGATTGTCTCGGGACAAATCATCAAGCCCTCGGGGACACTGCTGAACCCAAAAAGCTTGGACTTCTACTATCAGTTCGCCCAAGTGGAAACGTTGCGCGAGAGCAAGCTCTGAGTGGACTCTTGGGCCTCTTCGCATTCCAAGTGTCTCCATATGAGAGGGGCGAACCGGGTCCATTAGGATCGTCACTTCGCTTTGCCAAGCTTTGACCAAGCTTTGGCAAATTGGGGTCTTTGGGGGGAATTTGTGGATGTGAACACGTAGTAAAAGAGGGAAACTGGACTGAATCAGGTAGAAACATCAAAGATTGTTGCATTGGAAGAAAAAGTTGGAGCAAAGTACTCCATACGGAGTAGAAGGAAAGGGAATGGGCTGATTGAGTGGCTCAGTGTGTCCACTGCGTCATCAAAAGCCCCCGCACGGCCACCTAAGCGTATTAATTGTTTCTCTACGGAGCACTTCTACCCTCCTGTTCCTCAACCCCTGACTGTTTTTTTTTTTGGTCTTTTGTTTTTTGTCTGTTGTCCGTTGCATTCTACCTTATATCATTGAATCGCAATCATGGTTCATCTCGCCAAAGTTAAGAATGACAATGAGGTTCTCCCCTCTGCTCGGGACTTTGACTCCATTCCTGCCGCGGACACAAATGATTACGATACCAATGTCTACGGCAGTCGCTTTGCCGCTGCCCATATGCCTCTGCATGAAATGCCAGAGCGAGAGATGCCCCGCCAGGTTGCTGCGCGGATGATCAAGGATGAGCTGAGTCTGGACGGCAATCCCAAGCTCAACCTCGCCAGTTTCGTCACTACCTACATGGAAGATGAGATCGAGGATATTATGACCGAAGCCTTCAGCAAGAACTTCATTGATTACGAGGAATATCCCCACTCCGCCGAGATCCAGAACCGATGCGTGAACATGATTGCCAGACTCTTCAACACTCCCACCGATCCCAACAGTGAGAATGCCATGGGTACTTCAACCATTGGTTCTTCCGAGGCTATCATGCTGGGAACACTAGCTATGAAAAAGCGATGGCAGAACAAGCGTAAGGCCGAGGGCAAGGACTACTCGCGCCCCAACATTGTTATGAACAGCGCTGTCCAGGTCTGCTGGGAAAAGGCTGCTCGTTATTTCGACATCGAGGAAAAGTACGTCTTCTGCACCGACACCCGTTTCGTGATCGACCCCAAAGAGGCAGTGGACTTGGTGGATGAAAACACAATCGGTATCTGTGCTATCTTGGGTACCACCTACACCGGTGAATACGAGGATGTCAAGGCGATCAACGACCTCTTAGTGGAGCGCAACATTGACTGCCCAATTCACGTTGATGCGGCTAGTGGTGGCTTTGTCGCTCCATTCATTGCCCCTGACCTTGAGTGGGACTTCCGCCTGGAAAAGGTGGTTTCCATCAACGTCTCTGGTCACAAGTATGGTCTGGTCTACCCCGGTGTCGGATGGATTATCTGGCGCTCTCCTGAGTATTTGCCCCAGGAATTGGTGTTCAACATCAACTACCTAGGAGCCGACCAGGCCAGCTTTACTCTGAACTTCTCCAAGGGTGCTTCTCATGTCATTGGGCAGTACTACCAGCTGATCCGCCTGGGCAAGCACGGATACCGTGCCATCATGACCAATCTGACTCGCATCAGCGACTACATGTCTGCGGAGTTCGCGAAGATGGGAATGGTCATCCTGAGTGAGACGCATGGCCGGGGCCTGCCTCTGGTAGCCTGGCGCCTTCCTACAAACGAGAGTCGTGTCTATGATGAATTCGCCGTGGCCCACCAGCTTCGCGAGCGCGGCTGGATTGTGCCTGCCTACACTATGGCGCCCAACAGCGAGAAGCTGAAGATGATGCGGGTTGTCATCCGTGAAGACTTCAGCATGAACCGATGCGACAGCTTGATCCAGGACTTCAAGCTTGCTATCGAGACCTTGGATGCCATGGACAAGTCCATGATTGCCAAGTACAAGACGTATGTCTCTTCTGTCCTAAATGTTTCAAATTTCATACTAACAACTCTACAGGCACATGCAGAACCACCGCAACCACCCTCGGCACCACTCGCGGGTTCACCATCACTACATGGGCGAGAAACACTCGCTGCAGGGCAAGGATGGCAAGACACATGGCGTTTGTTAATTTCTCCATGTTGTTCCACACGTCTACTGTTTATCTTCAGAATATGTGCAAATGGGTTTGGCCTGGATCGAGAAATCTTGATGAATTATGCCGGTGCCACACATGCAGAGTCTTGTGTTCCTGTGACAGGATCCAACCCCTTGGGTTGATATCTAGCTGCCACATGTGGAACATGAAATTGAAATGACCACATCGATGAACCTGAGGGACAACCTCACACGCTGATTCGCGGGAGATCGCTTGCGGTAAATAATGTATCAGTCTTGCTCCTACTCTCTCCCAACATCTATCTGCACCTGGCGTTAGACCACTGCGTAATCTTCAAAATTGCACTCCAATGACCTTGGCTTACTCCTGGGATTTCAGCGAATTTTCCAAGGTCTTACGGCGGAGTTTTCAAAGTGGATCAGATCCTGCTATTGAATCATGTTTTCAATTGTGCGATCGCTTTCTAGCATGACCCCTAACATTGTCCTCTGCGAACCAGTTCAATGCCCTGAAAACTTGAAGCGCATTTAATCTTGTGATGTCATGTAGACGTAGACTTGTATAAGAGTAACTCCCTGCAACACTTCCAAGGTTGGACTACCATTTGATCCCCTCTATATCATGAAGACTATTTCAGTTGACCCGAGCAGGAACACGCCTCCAAACCGAGACCTTCCACTGCTGACTACGACCCCGGCTGAACTTCCTTCAGCTAAGGTGACGAAGCTTCATCCTTTCAACCCCGGCGAGGAGAACGCAGCCCTGTTCTTTGTGGGAACAGCCACAACAATCATGTCTGTTCACATCTATGTTGTAGAGATTTATCCGCGTATACTGATTCAAGCAGAGAATGGAGTGGAGTACGGATTTTGACTGATGTCAGCTTTTGATGGGGACTCTAATTCTCCCAGACTGACTGTGTTAGCCCAACTTCCTCCATACAGGCGACCCTGTCCACCTCGGTCCAGGCGGGCCAAGTGAGCGCCTCACCGACCCAGCTATCGACCTGCATGACCTCCCTCGGATTGATCTGGTCCTTCTCTCCCATTATCACGAGTAGGTCTCAGAGGCTCAAGGTTATCGAGCGGATCACTAAGATTGATCCTGCCAGGGACCACTTTGATGACAGGGTCGAGGCTTCCTTGAGACGTGATCTACCTATTATCACTACACCACATGCAGAGAAGCATCTCACTTCTAAGCAACAGGACCCGTTTACATCCGTATCCGTGCTCAATCCATTTGAGCAGATCAATGTCAGCATTCAAGGTACGGAAGGGCCAGGACAGCCCCGACTGCGTGTAGCGGGAATGCCCGGGAAGCATGTGCCTTCTAACCGAGTGGTAGAGAAATTCAACACAGTAGCCAATGTGGTGGGTGGAGTTTCCCTTTCCGGATGCTCCTAACTCGGTGGATCCCAAGCTAACAGACCAACAGTTTCCGCCAACCAACGGCTGGATGCTTGAGCTAGGCCACGGCAGCACCAACCCTGCAGACTTTTCCTGTGGTTATCGCATCTACATCTCCGGAGACACCCTCATGTTCGACGAGCTCCGGAGAATCCCCGAACGATACGCAGGCCAACCAATCGACCTGATGCTCGTCCACCTCGGCGGCATGACCGTTCCTTCTACCTTGGTAGGAAGACTGATGGAACCGCTAGCGTTGACGGTGACTATGGATGCGGAGCAGAGTCTGTCATTGATTCAGTTGATCCAACCGAACATCATCATCCCGATTCACTATGATGACTACGACGGATTTGTGAGCCCACTAGAAGATTTCAGGCGGATCATGGAAGTAGCGAGGTTATTGGACAAGGTTGTATTTTTAGATCGGAAGGATCAGTTTTGCTTTCATGTGAGGAGGAGAGCTTGATAGTCAGATTTCGACCTTTTTTTCGACGTTGTACGCGTGTCTGTGCTTGTGCTCAGCCTGGACGCGTCGATTTGGGGCTGAGAAAAAGAGGGCTCCATCACATATTTCGATTCCACCATTCTTGGGATGGGGAATGGTACGGAGTACTTCGTCCGAGACTCTTTGATTCGCTACGCCACTAAAAGCGGACCTTGTTTTTTTTTTTTCTTCTATTTTAATCTTGGGGAATTTGGGGGCGGTTGATGACCGAAGTATGGTATGTTGTAGATGACGAGGCTCGGATATGGCTCATGTTTATCTAAAAGTATTCGACTTTGACTGTCTGGGATAGGAAATGGAAGCTATTCTTTCAAAGTCTTTCTTTGATTGGTGTCTATTCCTCTATACCTGTGGTTCAAACTGATATAGACTGGAGAGAGGATGTGTCTACGTATGCCTGGTCACACAGTTAATTGACATTACTTTTGTATTAGATACTAATAGATACTATATGCTATGATTGAATTGTTATCAGATCACTTTCCATCTTCAAATACTCTGTACTCTGTATACTGCTCGTACAAGCCCACCAGGGCTATCCATTGTTCACCCTTCACCCTATATATAGAATAACCTCTCCAATCACCGCTCGTCGACCTTAGGTCCACTCAATCAGCCTCTCCCACTCTCTCCTCTCCCCTCTCCGCTCTTCCCTCTCCCCTTGTTTTCTTTTCTTAAGATCAGAAGCAGCGATGCGAAACCTTTTTAAAAGCAAGTCGCCTTCGGATCGGACAAGTCATCATTCTATGCGTAGCGCCGAACGGTTGGCTAGCCCCGCGTTTGCTCCACCGGACCCCAACATACCCAACGCGGATTCAAACCGGCGCTTTTCACAATTTGAATACTCTGCTCCTGGTCTTGTACAGAAGCAGCCTCAGACTCTATATCGGTCACAAAGTCAACGTCAGAAACCCTTACGGGATCGACCGACTGTCAACGTTGTCGCCCCTGTCGACTCGTATCGCAAAAAGGGCCGTGTCGAGCGCAGCGTCTCTGTCAAGGGCAAGCCAATTTCCTTTCCCATCTCACAACCCACTTCACCTGGACTTTTCAATTCAAAGACCTTGAAGGAGTCCGACGAGTTTCTACCGCATCCCCGGAATTCCTACGCGGAGAACTCGCCTGAGACACCGCGATCTCTCACCTACCAACAGGCTTACCGAACTTCCCGACCTTCCCATCCTGCTCACGCCCAAAGCAACCTTGAGCGGTCACAGCAACCTGTGCAGCCGCTTGAAATTCAACTTCAGCGGTCTACCGCCGACCCAATTCGGCTTGAACCGTACGTCGGACTGTCGCCTACCGATATTGTCCCCGAATCACCACGATACGCGGCGCAACGTCTTCATCGGGGACAGGCCTTCCCCCTTGCCCAGGATCCTATATTGAATACCTGGCCCCTATTCCAGCAGACTCTCGAGCCGCTTTCTCCGTTACAATCCGTTTATCCTGACGCCATGCAGTCTTCCGCGCAGGCATCACTGAACCAGGGTCAATTTCAGCCGCTGGACAGACAAAAATCCGCAGGTTCTCCGCAGCAGAGTCGGAGTCGGCAGGGTAGTGAGTCAACCAAGATGCCTGATCCCGGACCCAATGCACCTTACCGCGAGGATTCCGGGGAAGTGGACTTGCGGGCATTAATTCAGAAACATGATGAACTACGTAAGGCTTTTGTCTGGATTCGGATTTTCATTTTTCTGATCACTAACAACGACCAGAGGCCAAGTATTCCAAGGTGAAACGATACTACTTTGAAAAAGATGCGCAGGTTCAGCATCTCCAGAACACGGTAGCGCACCAACGGATGGCGGTGTCGCGTACCGTACTCGACGATAATGAATATGCCAGCCGATTCCAGCGACTGGATGGAGCGATCAAAGATCTAGCATTTTCCGTGCGCAAATTTTGGCACAGCATTCCCTCCTGGCTTCGTGGCATGGTCACCGACGATGCATTGTCGGTCGGCACGAAAGAAATGACCGCGGTCGGACGGGCGGTAATCAGCCGATGGCTAGTAGAAGAAGCGTTCCAGCGTTATTTCCATCCATCCTTGGATTCAACCTTTAGTGTGCAGCTGAAGAATATCGAAATGAACCTGCGACGGCAGCGACCGTCATCCGAAGAAGACCGCGAGAATGCCTCCGCGAGACTCTCCTATTGGCGGCGCACGACCTTTGACGGACTGAATGATTCTTTAGTCGGACCAGATGCCCAAAAAAATCGCGCTGGGCTAGTCGAGCACCTTATAGTGGAACTCGCTGCCTTTCTGGGATCCCAGCTGCATGAAATCGCGTCGGCAGGGCTAGAAGCAAGCGTGCGCATGATCATTGAGAACTCAGTGAACATTATCGAGAAGATTCCCCTCGAAGCTCGTGACGTCTGCGTCGATTACTTCCCACCGGGCGTCTCCCTCGTCGAGCAATATATGAAGGTCGAAGGCCAACTACCTGCACTGAGCCACCCACCCCCACCACCCTCGGACCAAGACCATTTTGAGGAGCCTGCCGCGGCAGAGGGAGATGGCCCATCCGGCTCAACCGCTGGAGGTATGGAGAGTGCTTCCCCGGCCCAGAAAAAGCCCTCGAAGAAGTCCATCTTTGGCGGGTTGATAGGCCGCAAGCATGCCTCGACCGAGATCAGTCGTCCGGCGCAGGCGCCTGGACCAGCCGAAGACAAGAGCGATCCTGCAGAGCTAGCTCCGAGCAGCCCACGTATCCGGTTCGCATCGTTCTTGGCGGTTGAAGTGCGTGGCAAAGGCCCAGCAACGGTACTGATCAAGTCACCCGTGTGGCTGGTGGAATAAGTTGCTCTACAAAAGTGTAGCTGGTTTAGATTGGCAACCGCAAACAGGGGTTCTCAATTTAAAATCGTAGAGCGTGTACATAGAGAACGGCCAAAGTTGCCACATGTTTGGACGGTGACGAAGATCATGACTTGTTAATATTCTTGATATCCCCAGGCGTATCCGTCGTTCAGCGGAGCCCAGTTTGCAGTTGGGGTTTGGGTGGAGGTTTTGGATGTTTTTTTTTCCCTTGCCTCAAAACGACTGGAAGCTGTGATTCTGCTATGATTGTGCTTTTGTGAGTAGACAGTTTTTCAATTCGATGTTTCTTAGCGGCATTCTTCGTAGCTCATCCACCGACTCTTGTTCCTGTTCTTCATATCCTTTCCATTACCTTCTGTCCATATCTCGACTCTTCGACACCTCCCATCAATAACCATGCACCCTACCCCCACCAAAATCAACGTCCTACAAAGGTGGCGGTGCCAGATCCAACCCCTCAACTTCGAATTTAAACGCATCACTTCGTGAATAACTCCCAGCAACATCAAGATCAAGCCGTCCACGCTCACAATCGTCCATCTCAATAAGCGCGATGGCCAACCCATCACCCGCCGCAACGGCAGGACTAGACTCAGCAGCCGACGTGCCAGGAGCGGAATGAGGCACAGCAGCATCGCTACTATCCGGCGCGTCATCCGTGCAGACTTCCCAGAGCGGACCGGCTAGAACCTCCCCAAGAGGCGAGACAATACAACTTCCCCCACGACAGACATAATCCAATACCGACTCCGAAGGAGCCAGGGATGGCTTAACACTCGGTGTGGACGAACTCTCCGACTCCGCCTGACCCTGACCGTGGGCCTCACCGTGAGTCTGTGGCCAGACAATCTCATGCGGACCCTCAGCAGTGACCGACAGTTTTCTTTGAGGATTCTGCGATTTGCTCGCAAGAGAATTCAGGTTGGCATTTCGATTCCGGCTTCGACCAGTATTCCCACCGGTAATCCAATCCGGTAGCTCGGAGCCGCGCACGCACTGGTTCGCCGAGAGCACGAAGCAGCGGCCTTCTATACCGACGGTTCGCATGAGCGGAAGCCAGGTAGAGCGGGCGTCAGCGGTAGGAGCGAGATAGATATTGACGTTCTGGGAGTACAGACTCTGACGTAGGAGGGGCATGTAGTTCTCCCAGCAGATTGCGGAGGCTATGGTTAGTGGGATACCGTTTAGGGTTGTTGTGACGGCTCGGAGGGTTGAAGGAGAACCCTGAGCCCAGATGATGCGTTCAGCGGCCGTCTAAGAAAGCCAGAATTAGATCGACAATCGAACAGGAGAGGGAGAAATGGAGAGATTCCTACCGGCATGACCTTCCTCCTCTTCCCCAAAACACCTCTCAAAGGATCAACATATATCACAGCACCGTACAAACTGCCACCAGCTCTCTCCACCAACCCAGTCACGATAAAAACCCCAGTCTCCCTCGCAACGCGCTCAAGAAACTCCCTCGTCCCGTCTCCCCGGAACCGCTTCCCCTCCGCAATCTCCAGCCTGCGACCAATCCACTCATCCCCGGCCCCAGCCGGCGTATCGCCCAAGTCCACGGCCGCCTTGAAGTACGCGAGGAATTGATCCCGGCCGCGCGGGTGTCGACTTCCCACTGCGGAGCCGAAGGTGCATGTCCGCGGGTATCCGCCTAGATAGGCTTCCGGGAAGAGGAGGAGGTGGACACCACGGCGGGCGGCGAGGGCTGTTGTTCGTTCGAGGGCGCGGAGGGTTTCAGTTAGGGATTCATGTGTGCGAGACTGGGCAACTGCGACTGTGAGATAAGGCATTTTTGGGGGTTGCTGTTGGCGTTGGGGTTAGGGTTACAGTTGCGACGAGGAGGCGTGAGGAGGGAAATTGGGTTGGACTATGACGAAATCGCTATGAAGGGGGAACCTTGGATGCTTGAAAGCGTGGCTGTACTTATGGACTTTGTACTGAAACGAGGATATAGGTGTTGTAGACTTCTAATATCAAAGAGTCGCTCTCTAAGTCGGACCCTTTGTCCGATTCGTCGCCCTGGAAATAGTTGCAAGCTCACTGTCCCCCTCTAATGCACCGAGAGGACATAGCGAGAGCATGATTCAAAGGCAGCTCTTCAGCAACAGCTTGTATTGCCACGGTTGCAAGGGCATCACAGGATGCACGTTTTCCAGTTGTCATTTCGAGATAAATCTTAGAAACGTTAAAGACCTTTCCGATCCGATGGAAGGTTCATGAGGCTATACCTATTGCCTCTGTTTCCCTGCTGGAGTTTTCAGCGGTGATGGTTGCAAACTCATAGACTTCTGTTCCCACCGTTGGCATTGCGTGGATGATTTTGAGCATCTTCATATCCGGCCATCTGGTGATCCTCCAGAAGATGGGTGATTTCAGCACTTGGTGTTTTCGCAAGGATGTTGCAGATCGTATATGATCAGGATGCCTCTCTTTGTAAAGTACTTGGGAAAAAATTTGATGTGTGGCTAAGGGTTTGACTTAAACACAGATTGAGACTGACTGGCTTATTTTTAGTTGCGATACGGGCTACAGAACGAGCGTCAGAGCTACAAGATAGGTACTGGGGGCCTTCTAGGCAAGCCAGTAGGCCAAGGGCAAGTACGTCGTCGTGTCTTTTCACTCTAATGCCTGCTAGAGGTGGAGAGCTAGCCCACCGTTCTAAATAAAGTGTGGTTTGGCGTTTACCATTTGATTTGACAATCTTCGAAGTTTCATCCTATTGATAAAGGCAAACTGACTGGAACATGAGATTCAAGTGTCGCAAAAGGATGGATTTTCTCGTTATCATAGGACTACGCGCTATAGTACTGTTGGCGACAAGGTGGCCTGGATTGAAAGCCAGAAGCTGTGCGAAGCTCCCTACGTTCCATGAACTATCGCTTTGCAGTTTGAAAAAGGATGTGCTGGATTTCGGCATGCAAGCGCAAATTCCAGCCGCTTGGCGAGAAGGATTCGACTGGATATGAAGTTGAGGGATCATTTGGCAGCACAGGGCTAGGCGAAGTAGCCTGAAATAAACGTAGAATAACGTAAAAGTCCAATGGACAGTCTTTGGATATTGTATCTACTTGATGTGAGTCCAAAGCCAGCAACATGCAGGGAAAGACACCCAACCCGGGGGACCAAAAGCACAGCTATAGACCAAAAAATCCATGCAGCCATAACTAACCTGCATGAAAAGATGCAAATGAGGAAAACAAGCCCCGGGAATAGCGCACGCCTTGCTATGAGAGTGAGAGATGTGTAAATACCAAAAATTTGAACATCCCCAAAAAAAAAAAAGGAGCCGAAAATGAAATGAATGCCAGGAACGCCGTAAAAGAGCAACAAGTACGATGATGCTGAAATGCAAGAGAGTCGAAACAAATTTGAATGCAAGGCATTAGATGCCTTCAACCAGTATCCGAGCAAATGGCCATGTTCACGAAAACTCGATTGTGCGATCTAGGCAGATATCCCATTAGCAGCAGCAGCTTGCTGGAGCACACGAGGCCAACGCGAGATGAGTTCGACATCGTCGAGGGCACCCTTGCCCTGGTTTCGCACATATTGGGTGCTCGGGTCGGTGCGCGGCTCGTAGTCCCAGACGGTCTGGGTACCCTGAATCAAAGCGGAGTAGACCAGACGGCGGCGGCGCTGAGAACGCAGTACGTCCTGGTGGATCTTCTCCAGATCCCAGCGGGCAAATGTTTCCTCAAGGAAGAATGCCAGAATTTTAGTTGGATCGGTGGTGTTGGGTACTGCAGGCGGGAGCTTGGAGGGGCTCGGAGTGCGAGGGGGGGTATTTGAAGGGAAGTGGTAGTCTGCCGTGGTAGCACGCTGAGGGATTGGCGATGCATGTGGGGTGTCGTCTGGAGTTGGCAGATTCATGGTAGTCAAGTTAGTGGGCTTGATTGCGCGAGTGGAGCTGGATGGAATAGGTAGGCCGGCTGCAAGGTTGGTCCTCTCCTCTGGGTCGTTGACGAGATCGTAGAGCATAGGTGGATCGATAGTCGAATAGATGAACTTCCAGCGGCCGCGACGGATCATCATAAGAGGAGCCTGGGTACCCTCGCCCATGTACTCGCCGTAGACTGTATCGGTGCGGAGACCCTCGCCGCCAGTCAGATACGGTACGAGGGAAACACCGTCGAGGGGAAGGTCGGAGATGAGTTTGGCGCCTGCCAATTCAGCGAACGTAGGAAGGAGATCCATAGTAGAGACGTTCTGGGAGATGCGCTTTGGGGCGAAGTGCTTAGGCGAGTGGACAAGGAAAGGAACGCGAGCCGAATTCTCGAACCAGGTCATCTTGTACCACAGGCCGCGCTCGCCGAGCATGTCACCATGATCACCAGTGAAAACAATGATGGTATCGTCGGCCAGACCGGTGTTTTCAAGAACATGTAGCAGCTTGCCGATGTTGGTATCAACGTATGTACAGGCGGCATAGTATGCACGACGGGCGGCACGGATGCGCTCGTCGGGCATCTCCTTGTTGAACAAGTCGATACACTTAAGTACCCGCTGGGAGTGCGCATCTTGCCGGTCATGGGGAATCGCTCCGTTCTTAGGCAGCGGGATCTCGACATCGTTGTACAAGTCCCAGAACTCCTTGGTCATGGCATATGGGTCATGTGGGTGAGTCATGGAGACCGTCAAGCAGAAAGGCTGCTCGTTGCGCTGCCGAACATGGTCGTGTAGGTATTGAATTGACTTGTAAATTACCTCTTCATCAAAATCCAATTGATTTGTGCGGACAACGGGGCCTGCCTCCATCACGGAGGACATGTTGTGATACCAGTCGGCACGGATGTCCTACGTTTCAATTAGTATGGTGCCACAACCGGTTGTTCGTAAAATAGACGTACAGGTTCATCCCAATTGACGGACCAGCCATAATCACCCGGGTAGATATCACTGGTCAGACGCTGTTCATAGCCGTGAAGCTGATCCGGGCCGCAGAAGTGCATCTTTCCGGCCAAGGCCGTGTGGTATCCCTCGCGGCGCAGATAGTGAGCATATGTGGGGGTGTCCGCGGGCAGCTCTGACGCGTTATCATAGGCTCCAATCTTAGAGGGCAGCTGGCCGCTGACCATGACAAAGCGCGAGGGAGCACACAGTGGTGAGTTACAATAAGCTGACTCGAAGACTACACCGCCGTCGGCAAGGCGATCTAGATTAGGGGTTTTAATGGGGGAGTTCTTGTCATGCAAGGACAGCAAGGGTGCGGCCATTTGGTCGGCCATGATGTAGAGGAAATTGGGCTTCTTGGTCGCCATATTGAGCATATGGTTCAACGGACGGCCAGTTTGGATTGGAGGTTAAATACAGATTTTGAGAGAGAGTCGAATGAAAGACGAAAGTGTGGGAGAGCAGATGATATAAGAAGTTGAGGAAGAATGTGGGGAACAGAAAGGAAAAGAAAAAAAACGACCAAAAGAGGAAAAAAGGAGATAATTCTAAAAGAGATTGGGGGCTAAAAAGGCGAACACATGAAGGCCAAGACCAAGGGTCAAGGGTGCGTGTAATTAATGTAAGATTTCCCCGATATACAGTGACGATCCTATTTTGTATTCCTATTTGACCATGTACCCTGCAGAATGCTGTGCATTGTAATTGCGTTATGTAGCATCCCAAACCGATTCGTACAAAGTTATTCCCGCCTGCAACGGAGATCTGGGGAGGTGATCCGGCACTGACGTACTCCCCCCGCAAGAACGATGGGATCATTCGAGGCATGGATGGTGTGATTTTCGGAAAAACATGTATGGTAATTGATATAACACCGAACTAGATAGTCCGGAGTGCAATACGGCACACATAGGCTATAGTTTTCTCCCTGCCCACTTGCATAATTGTGGTCTCTGAGAATAAGCAATTGCAAATACGAATATGTAGTCACAAGACTAGTGATTTTCACCAACTAAATTTGAATCAAAACCCATCGGGCCAAATGCCGAGGGAGTTGCCACTTTACAGGCACCATGGGGTCCAGGTGTTGCATCTGTCACATTGGGAAGGTCATAATACAACGGTAATACCAATCGTGCATGTAAAATCACCACATATCTCACCCCCGTTAAGCCAATAATTTCAATTAAAATATGCCGTGCCACAGGATGAGGATTTAGTACAAGGTCTACCTTCAGTGTAGTTCACACGCGCACTCGACCCCGGAGTGGATAACGGCAGGATAGCCCACATCCACGGCAGCGTTTCCAGTGTGACAGGACCTTCAAAGCGCTAACCTGATTTAGCCTAGTGATTCCCCAAAACCGAGCACTAGTCAAACCTTGTGCTTCATGGAGTCATGTCAATGCATTCTTCACCAATCAAATCGAGATGTTTCTCATCTGGGATGACCTAACAAGGTTAGAGGCGAGACTTAGAAGCAGAGGTTCCACTTGCTTATCTTGACGCCCAATCAAACCGCAGGATTCGGCACTACTGGGAGGAAAACGAGACTTCGTGAAGATCCAAGAAAGCGATGGAGTCCAGTGGGACTCTCCTTCTAGTTCTTCTCTTTCTCTGCTATTGTATCTACTTACAGTCCTCGCGAAGAGACAGTATCGAAACAAGGAGACGGAATCTGATGCATCATGGCTCCACAATGAGCAATCCCCCTTTCCAAGCACGCCATGCGGAGCGGTCTAAGATCGCCCCAGGATTTACGATGGTTTATGTGCTCCGTACCTTGAAGGTGAAAATAGTCACCACTGTTTTCTACCATAGGCAGTTGTTTTCAAGTAGGAGGCATGTAGCTCCACAAGGCCACGTCGACATTGACGTATAACATGCGGATTTCCAAGTCATCACCGGATGTTTTCACCTGGTGTAGTTGGTAAAATGATAGCTTACATAGTGCTGGCAACCTGGAGAAAAAGATACTCTTTCCACTGCAGGTGAATCGCAAGTAATTCTTAGGTCAGCCAAATTTGATCATGAAACGAGAAATGCTTCAAGTCAATTCTCGTATTAAATGGTAAGTGTCAAGTCAAACTTTAAACAGAAAAGCGGGCTAGCTCTCCTTAATTCCAGTAAAAGAATAGCCAGCCACTGATGCGGTCTCTGTCCTTGAGGACTGAAGACTTTCAAACAATCTGATGTATTTGGGCCAAGATGGCATTCAAGATATGATGTGCAAGAACCCTCTGCTGTGGTTTTTTAAATCGTCAACTGAGTGAAATTCGAGGATGTATTTCAAGCGGACAATCTATCACATGGGAATCCATTAGAATTAATGGGGACTAAAATTTGGGCGTGCGTCTTTAATGAAGCCCTGTCCGTCTTGGGTGAACAGACGCGGCAAACAAAAGTCCGTAGCAAGGTGAGAGGCCCTTGCCAAAACCTGTAATAGAGATACTGGATTACCGGGCACTGAAAGAAGGCAAGGAAAGAGAAATGGCGGCTTGTGTTCAACACAGACGTGGGAAGCAAAGGCTCAGATTTCGGACGGGCCAAAAGATACAGAAAATAGAACACTATACGCCGTGGTGGTAGATGACTTCACCTATGCTTATCGGACAGATCAGGTAATGAAGAGGTAGAGGTTTGGACGAGAAGTTTCTGGATTGAAGAGTTTGAAGAAGAAGATGTTGTAGTTGTGTCAACGTTTAGTCAACCTTGATGGCACTGTAAATTTCTCATGATTAGCCCCTTGCTGACCGGATTCAAAATGCTGCGGTCTTACCTGTAAACACGCCGGACAAAAGCATAAGCAGCCAAGAAACCAACGGTTCCGGTTAAGAGGCCATATACAGCGCAAGCGAGGAAGCTGTAGCTGAAAAACAGCAGGCCTGACACAAAGCCAGTAATGTGGAGCTTGAACAGGTAATACCAGATGCAGTAGGCATAAATCCAAAAAGCGCTGCCACCGCCGGTGAGGAAGCTCTGCCACCACCAATGATAATTCTAAGGAAGTTAGTGCGGCAATTCACAATGCAAGCCAAGAACAGTCTTACCTCGGAGCAAAGCTGGCTGTATGTTGCGATCACGGTTACCTCAACGATCGTAACAATCAGAACGATTGAGACAACGCTCAGGAAGCCGAAGACATAGTAATAGCCAGACTTGTCCTGCCACAAGTTCTTGAAAAGGAATAACAGCTCAATAAACAGAACTGCGAATGGAATGAGGCCAGTTACCACAGGCCCGAGAGGGGTGCGGAGATACCACGGCTGGGGTGGAATTTGGCGGGCAATAGCATTCGTCTTCAGAGGGTGCTCCCATGGCACTGCACGCACATAGCCGGCCCAACTACCTATGTATACCAGCGGAACTTGAATGAGGAGCCAAATTGCAAGAAGACCGATCAGAGTGCCGAAAGGAATTGCCGTGCTGGATGCTTGAGCCCAGACAAACAAGTTCATAATAAACACAAGGCAGAATGCCAGACCAGGGAAGAGTAAAGCGGTCTAAGCCGAAAAATTAGCAACGGCACGTGAATAACTGAAGGAAAATACGTACGATTAGTGTGTTCTTGCGCCAAGCAGTTCCGCCAAAGGTTTTGTAAAGCCTTCCTGAGAAGTAACCGGAGAAAAGGCCAGCAAAGACGAAGAGACCCATCCCGACGCTAACAAAGCCACCACGAAAGCTTGGGTTCAAGACTCCCAAGCAGCTGAGTATGAGCAAGCCTGAAGCCATGAATAAGAGCTGCATTCCTGATCCAACCAAGGGAGCAAGAAGACCACTATAAGCGGGGATGCGGAACACATCCCCATGGAGAAGCTTCCATCCGCTTGTATCCTCGAGAGCCTCTTCGTCCGAGGAGTAGTCTGCGTCGCGCTCCACATCTGCACTGTCATCCTGAAGCCCCCCGGCTTTTTGCTCGCCAGGCCTGCCACTCCGGCGCCGAGATTGGGTCTTCATCTTCCGATCGTCCATAGCACCATCGCCGCGACCCTTAAGGTCGCCTTGCACTGTGCGGCTCCAGATGACAAACACAGTCACCCCCAGCACGGTGCAAATTGTCAATGAGTTGATGATCGCTAGCCAGTGGGTTATCAAACTTTCGCCTTGGTTGATAAAGTATAAATCCCAGCGATTGGCCCACTCAACATTGGTGTCCTCTCGGAAGTAGACAGAGTAGGTGTAAGGGACCTTCAGTGTAGCTCCGTCATCATCGTCGTCATCATCAGGGATATACGACAGCCCGGAATACTTTTCTTGCATTCGCGAAAGGTTGGGTGCGATGTACAATCCCAGACCTTCGTTGTTATTGTGAAGAGCTTTGGGGCATCCGTTTTCCAGGCGGTCCTCGGCGGTAATACTTTTCGGGTACACCTCAAAGCCTACAACTACCTTTCCTCCTTCCGGTGCGCTCCGCCAGCGTATAACGATTGTGAAATGGTTGTTGATGAAAAACCGATGCTGTCCGGTGATTGGAGAGATGTCTCGATAGCCCAGCTTGAATCCGGAAGCGTAATACTTGCGGCTTCGATCCACTGTCACAAAACTCGTGGCTCCTGGAAGATTGTCGGCAATCCATTCTACCACATATCCCTCCTTGACGAGCTGGCGAGCCCATTTCACATTTGACCGACTAAGATCGCGAGTGCAGAGCGACTGACACTCCACATCCTTCCCCATCGCAAGTTCGAAGTCGGAGGTCATTATTCGGTCACCGCGCAATACCTCTCCGATGTTGAGCGAGATGCTTTGGCCCGATCCAAACGGGGAGCCGCCATGTTTTTTACCGCTCGGCGGACAGACGAAAGGCAGGTCGAAATAGGCATACTGCAGCTGGGTATGATCGGAGAAGATCTTGTTCACGAGAAGAGGGATCGGATCATTGTCATTATATCGGGTAACAGAGTATCCTAGTGGGGGGAAAGTCTGTAAGTATCAAATGCTTAGTCCAACCAGAATACGCCTTTGTGCTTACCAGGGACGTAGAATGCACCGGTACAGGACACGAGCAGCAGCACCCACAGCACCCACTGATGGACACGAAATTGAACAAAGGCCATGTTCAATGGATGTAAATAGATCTGCTTGGTCTTTGATCTTTGACCCGGAGTAAACGGGTAGCTATCGCGCCAGCATGTACACAAAGTATGGAGAGCTGTAAGTCGGTGGATTACGGTGTGTCGACCAGCAAAGGTTAGATCGAAGCGAGTGAGCCAAAATGACTACTTCGTAAAGGATTTCTCGTTAAAAGGATACGTTGTCAAGACGATCGATGGGCGGTCCGACAATGGACTTGATCTCGGAAGCGCGTGTTGAATAGCAGATTGCCAAGGTTACCGGATTACTTCAGCTCACCCGCAACCTGCCGAGGGACAGGTAAGTAACGAGTGAAACTGGCACTTAATGCCACAGCAGTTATATAAGTGTGTCGAGAAAAGGGGCTGAGTGACTGTGGGGAGCTTAGGATAGCTTCGCGCTTCCCTGGACTACTCCAGACGTATCCCTGGATTACCTAATCGGAATACCACCCCGTGGACGCCTGGATAGACCACGCATGCACACCTTGACAAAATCGACAACCCTATTTGATAAGTCTTGATATTTCAGAATAATTTGCGCTCCAGGGTTGATTAACCATGATCAAGAGCGCCAAGTTCACCTATTTAAGCCTAGTTTTCCTCGGTGTTATGATAGCTTTCTAGATTTACCGCCCACTGGTCCTCTACCATTTTATTGGCTTGCTTATTTACCTCACCGTCTCGCTAGGCCAGATTCTGCTGCGTTCAACCCCCATCTACACATGTCTCCGATAGTTTCTCCAACGTACCTTTGTATTTCCGTCCAATCTTCTTGTCAACATGGAGAAAATGACATGCCTGAAAAGCTATATCCCATCTTTGGAAAGCTAACCGTATGATAGGCTACCTAATTCACCCCTCATGTTGGCTATGGACTCTTATCTCAAACCCCCGTTCTTAAATTCCGTTGGGCATCTTTCACCTTTTGCCAAAAAAATCTTGAGGTTACTAATGAATACTCACTGTGGTGATAATTATTATTAATTTTTTTAGAACAGATCCATCTTGGCACTCCTGGCTTTTTACCTTTGGCTCTCTTACGCTGTGTGGCTATTGAGACCCTGAGGACGTTTACGACCTGAGATTTCACTACATGGCATTTGTCATTGCAATGGGGATGTTTTGCTTGACGGGCGACACCTGTTACCCTTCTGCGAAGGCCTGAAGAGGGAAGTGGTTATCGTGAAAGGCTTGACCAAGCCGTCGCAACTCGGAGACTTACACTCGGCCCCACCCAAAGCCAAGATCACGGCCATAGGCGGTTATGCTATGGTTAGGGACAGAGGTAGGAGATCTACAGTCGATGCCAAAAATTTTGCAAGAAATAAGAGAGTTCAAGGATTATGGAGTCGGCCAGAGAATTCAAGTAAAAACCTTACATCAGGAGAAATCACAGCCGCCAAAAATTGCTGCCTGTGGACTCGTGTATCTGACCCTGGAGCCTTCCTTGAAAAATGATATCTTTTTTGATAATTTTCATGGACATTTTCTTGCAATTTTGAAATTCTAAACCTAGATGTAGTCAATGGTATCGTGACTTCAACAGCCCTAAAAAAATAGTTTGATTTCGACGTACACCATACTTACATGTGATATGTAGCAACCGTCGATTTCAGCCGAATACAGACGTGCCAAAGCCAGTCTCTTCAATTCTCCTTCTTGTTTCATTGAAACTGGCTTCTCAGCTCGCATCATGACAACTGCTTCTACTACCTGGGCTTTAGGCATTCCCTTACAAGCCTTCTTGGCCATGGGCCACACCTCTTCAAATGAAATCTATGTGTCTGTTCGTGATCTCCGCAATAGCACCAAGTGGATAGCGTTTTTAGCTGCTGAGTCTTTATTTCGTCAAACTTCCCTTCCTTCCGATATCATGGCACTTGTTCACACTGAATCCATGTCTTGCCCTAGCAAGAACTAATCTTTCGTTCGTTCTTTGTTCCGAGTTGCAGAGCTACAGGGTGGATCCAGCAGCTCAATGGAAAACAACGGGGTTGTCTTCTTCATCCCGGTGTATGCTTTGATGGCCATCGGAATACTGCGAAGTGGTCATTTCGCAAGTCGCGTGGCATCGAGATGAGTATGATATCTGAGATCGAAGTTGGCCAGGTGAATACCAGGCAACATGATTCTGAGTAAAGTTGAACGCTGAATGATGAGTTTTGTCTATGTCGACTTCCGTCCCTTGTGCGATTGATGAAGTTTCTCTTCCCATTTTCAAGTTTCGTCCTTTGGTCTCGGCTTTTTTTTTGGCCCTGGGACTCAATGCCTTCCTCCACGTGTGTTTCTCATGTTCATCTCCTTGGCTAATCATAGAAGGATAGCTATAATCATAATATAAGCGGTTCACGTGCCCCGCTTTGACAAGGATCAAACTAGCAATCTTACCCATTCGGATTGGGGGGAACAAATTGCCTGGCTTTTCAGATCTTACACCGAATTTTCTAGCCATCCGAACGAAATTCGGCGGGAAGCATGTTTGTACATGACCCTTCATGCTTGTAAGACATGGGTATCTCGAGGCTACAAGACTGAAGGCCATTTTTCAAAAATCTAACACTTCTGTTCCTTTTTACTTGTGCTCCGGTGTGATATAATACCAATTCGGTGGGATATGCAGCTATGGCTAGATTCATATTTGTAGATTTCTTAGGGATTTAGAGGAGGATAGAAGCATCAATTAGAAATGATCCCATGGCATTCTGAGCTCTGGAATGATGGCGAGATATCCAGAAAACTAGCCAAGAATCACACAGAAGATAAGCATGCTAAAAGGGGAATGAGAAATTCATAGGTACCGAGGGAGCGTGCCCACCTCGTAAAATCAGTGGAAGTTGAATACATCAGGAAAGTAATCGTAAGGCTGTGCTAGAAAGAAAAAAAGCTGCCCAGAAATTATTATGGGTGGCTAAGGAGGTACTCCACCGCTCCTTGAACACTGCCACCTGCGCGACGCAGGGCTTCAATGTTCCGCTCGAACTCAAAGAAACCCATATCATTCAACTGCCGCAACTGATCGGCGTATCTGTCCTCCGGAGGGCGCGTGTCTGCAGGCTGAGGGGTGCCAAAACCACCTCCGAAACCACCAAGACCACCGCCGAGTAGAGCAGCCAGAGGGTTTGCACCAGCGGCTCCACCTCCTGTGCCCTGTCCACCCATTCCTTGCATCATCTGGGAAAGCAGCGCCGGGTCACGCAGGAACGGATTCTGCTGAGGATTGAACGGGTTCATGCCCTGACCAGCTTGGCCAGCGTTTCCGAAGATAGCGGGGTTCAGGAGAGATGCGAAGGGGGTTTGAGCAGCTTGAGGGATTTGTCCCTCAGCAGATGTTGATCGATCAGTGGAGTCGGCACCCTGTGTACCGCCGGGCTGAGTGGAGGCCGGTGCGGTAGAAGGCTGGGCTGGAGTACCGAACGGGTTAGCTCCAAAGAGGGCCCCGAAAGGGTTTGCGTTTCCAAGCGAATTCTGAGGCATCTGCCCAAACGGATTTGTTTGCGCATTCTGTTGCTCGGGACCTTGGGTTCCCTCAGCCGTCGTGTTGGTCACCCCCGGGGCGGGGAATGCATTATCACCGCCACCAAGTCCGCCACCACCCATTCCCATAGCCCGTTGCATTTGCATCATCTGCCGAATTGAGCTTGGATCTGTCAACATGCGGCGAAACTCTGGGCTTTCCATCATTTGCCGAACTCCGGGTCCCATGTCGCGAAGCATGGGGTTCTGCTGGATCATCATGTCGATCATGGCGGGGTTCTGTAGGGCTTCGTTGATGCTTGATTGGAATTGAGGATTCTCGAGCATGTTAAGCATCGACTCAGTATCTGGCGGAGGTCCCATCTACATGGTCAAAGACTGTTAGCTTTATGTTGCAGGTATTCCTAAATTATTTCAAGCCCAAGAGCTCACTTACCCCGCCATCAGGGCCGAAAAGGCCCGCCCCAGGAAGTTGTGCGAATCCGGCATATCGTGCACCAGTCAGACCAGCAAGTGGGTTGTTGCCAGTTCCTGTGGCAAGATTGATTGGGACACCGGCTGCTGCCGGGCTTGGGGTTGCCCCAGCGGCCGCAGTGGCCGAGCTAGGCTGAGCAGCAATGTTCTGACGCTGCTGGTTACTCGCAGCACTTTTTACCAGATGAATAGTATGGCCATCCTTGATCTTGTAGGTCTCCAGTGTCTCGGTGTCCTTCAAAACCCTACCTGAATAGATCAATCGCTGGCGCTCTGCGGGGGTATCGGCATTTTCGGGACTTGAGAGCTTCTGCTTGAGATCTGACACAAGAGTGGTGAGGGGAAGAGTCAAGGTATATTTGGCATCGGTGGATGACTTGACGGTGAAAGTAATGGGAGCCTGCTCTGCGGTAGCCGTCTCGTCGGCCATGGCGAAACGATGTGTGATTGTTGTAGAGCAAGTAGGGTGATAACTGGGGGACGGACCAAAGATGAAGGGTAAATTGTCCACGAGAGTATTGGCCGGTTGATCAAACGTGTGTTTGATGAGCTGCTGTGATTTAAATTAATATCACGAAAGTGAGATGAAGGATGAGAGAAGGGAGTCAGTGAGGCCGTTATGCGGAGGTGATCTGATCTGCCTGGCATCAGTCGGCGCGGCGTAGAAGGCGGTCGAATCAAAAATCACGTGCTGGACGCGCTAGTGAAAGCTCACACACGGCAAGGAATATTTTCTCTTCCTCAACTCTTCGCGTGTGATCACACGGTTACACTTTTCTTCATCTGTGGCAAGTGGACTTGAGGAGTTTTCCTTTTTTAACTCCACCCAGCAGGGATGGGACTGATGTAATATTCATACCCCCTGACTTGCAATTGCATGTACAAAGTTTACACCTCTTCTGAGTGGTACCGGGAAACCGCTACCTAATCGCCCACCATGGCCACCACATCGCACATGTTTATGTACTCCCTGACGATCCAGCCCCCAACTGCTGTCACACAGGCCGTCTTAGGTCAATTCGCAGGCACCAGGGACCAGCAGATCGTCACCTCGTCAGGTTCTAAATTGACCATTCATCGGCCTGACCCGGCACAGGGCAAGATCACACCTCTCTACTCTCAAGATGTTTTCGGCATCATTCGCTCACTCGCAGCTTTCCGCGTAGCTGGAAGCAACAAAGGTATGTCGCTTTCTTTGTACCCCTTGTCTGCCCCCATATGAGTACAACTTAGTGATTCTTCAAGCTTCCTGGGCAGCGCGGTCCTCTTGCGAACTGACCCTTCAAGGGTTGAGATCTGCCCTGGACAGCGACGTTGATGCTTGCAATGCTTCCTGGTCAACGGACTGTGCTGAGTGATTATCATAGATTACATCATCATCGGCTCAGACTCTGGTCGGATCACGATTGTTGAATATGTTCCCTCCCAGAACCGCTTTAATCGCATCCACATGGAGACGTTTGGAAAGTCTGGAGTTCGTCGAGTCGTGCCGGGTCAATACCTCGCAGTGGACCCAAAGGGACGTGCGTGTCTTATTGCTTCTGTGGAAAAGAACAAGCTGGTCTATGTTCTCAACCGCAACTCGCAGGCGGAACTTACCATCTCCTCGCCACTGGAGGCACACAAGCCCCAGACCTTGGTGTTTGCCATGATCTGCTTGGACGTTGGTTATGACAATCCCGTTTTCGCTGCTCTTGAGGTGGACTACTCGGAATCGGATCAGGATCCCACTGGTCAAGCGTACGAAGAAATTGAGAAGGTTTTGGTGTACTATGAACTTGATCTTGGGTTAAACCATGTTGTCCGCAAGTGGTCTGACACCGTCGATCGCACGGCATCTATGCTGTTCCAAGTACCCGGAGGAGATGATGGTCCCAGTGGCGTCTTGGTGTGCGGGGAAGATAACATTACCTACCGCCACTCCAACCAAGGTGCGTTCCGCGTGCCTATCCCGCGACGCAGCGGAGCTACTGAAAATCCTGAGCGTAAGCGCTCGATTGTGTCAGGAGTGATGCACAAGATGAGAGGCGCTTTCTTCTTTCTTCTCCAAACCGAGGATGGTGATCTGTTCAAGTTGAACCTGGAAATGGTCGAAGATAAGCAGGGACAACCCACTGGAGAAGTGAAGAGATTGACGATCAAATACTTTGACACTATTCCTGTGTCAACGAATCTGCTTATTCTGAAGAGCGGTTTCCTCTATGCCGCCAGTGAATCTGGAAATCACAATTTTTACCAATTCGAAAAGCTTGGTGACGATCCCGACGAGCTCTTCTTTTCCAGCGACTCGTTCTCGGCTGATCACTCTGTCCCCTCTGCACCAGTCTTCTTTCATCCCCGAGGCGCTGAAAATGTCAACCTCATGGAAAGCATGAACTCATTGAGTCCTCTGATTGACAGTAAAATTCTCAATTTGAGTGAAGATGACGCACCTCAAATCTACACTATCTGTGGCTCTGGGGCCCGAAGCTCATTCCGTACTCTGAAACACGGACTTGAGGTCTCTGAGATCGTGGAGTCGGACCTTCAGCAGGTGCCTTCGGCTGTATGGACAACCAAATTGACGCGAGCCGATGAGTTCCACACATACATTATTCTCTCTTTTGCGAATGGAACCCTCGTCCTGAGCATTGGCGAAATTGTTGAGGAAGTTTCAGATACAGGATTCCTTTCATCGGCTCCAACTCTGGCCGTGCAACAACTTGGCGAGGATTCTCTGGTTCAAGTTCACCCTCGAGGTATTCGTCACATTCTCGCAGACCAGCGAGTCAATGAATGGCCTGCTCCACAGCATCGGTCTATTGTAGCAGCTGCCACAAATGAACGTCAAGTCGCAGTTGCACTCAGCTCGGGTGAAATTGTCTACTTTGAAATGGATGCAGACGGGACATTGGCAGAATATGATGAAAGGCGACAGATGTCTGGTACCGTCACCTCCCTGAGTATGGGAGAGGTCCCTGAAGGCCGTATGCGAAGCTCGTTTTTGGCTGTTGGATGTGATGACTCTACAGTCCGCATTCTCAGTCTAGATCCGGACTCGACACTCGAGAACAAATCAGTCCAAGCATTAACGTCTGCACCATCTGCCTTGCAGATCATGGCTATGGCCGACTCGAGTTCGGGGGGAACAACTCTATATCTCCATATCGGTCTTTACTCTGGTGTCTACCTTCGTACTGTATTGGACGAGGTGACCGGTGAGCTTTCGGACACTAGAACTCGCTTCATCGGTGCCAAGCCTGTGAAATTATCCCAGGTTTCGGTTAAGGGCCAAACAGCAGTTCTCGCGCTCAGCACCCGTCCCTGGCTCGGATACTCTGACATCCAAACCAAGAGCTTCATGCTCACTCCTTTGGATTACGTCGGACTAGAGTGGGGATGGAATTTCTCCAGTGAGCAGTGTGTGGAGGGCATGATCGGCATCCAAGGCCGCAGTTTACGGTATGTGGTTCTTCCCATCTCCAATTTCCCCCAATCCCCTTGATCTATGATGAGAAAATCAATCCGAACTTCTATGTGGATGAAACTTTAAAAGAAAAATTCCAATTGTTCCTTCTGAGATCAATCCTCTACCATACTACGTTGAGACTACAAATTGTTCTGGACTGGTACTTACTGAAAATAGGATTTTCACGGTTGAAAAGTTGGACAACAACATGCTCCAAGAGTCTATTCCTCTCTCTTACACTCCTCGACGCTTTGTGAAGCATCCCGACCAACACCTCTTCTATGTCATTGAATCTGACAACAACGTCCTCTCTCCTGCCACCCGCCAGAGACTGATCGATGATTCCCAAGCTCAGAATGGCGAGGTTGCCGACCTCCCACCCGCAGACTTCGGATATCCCCGAGCCACTGGCCACTGGGCTTCATGTGTCCAGATCGTGGACCCAATCACTACCAAATCTGTCATCTCTACTCTTGACCTTGAGGACAACGAGGCAGCAGTCAGCCTTGCCGCGGTATCGTTTTCCAGCCAAGACGACGAAACATTCTTGGTTGTGGGAACCGCCAAGGACATGACAGTCAGCCCTCCCTCGTCCTCTTGCGGTTTCATCCACATCTATCGATTCCAGGAGGACGGTCGCGAGTTGGAGTTTATTCACAAGACCCAGGTTGATGAGCCTCCTCTCGCTCTTCTTGGCTTCCAAGGCCGTCTCCTAGCAGGCATCGGCCCCGTTCTTCGTGTGTACGACCTTGGTATGAAGCAACTATTACGGAAATGTCAAGCACCCGTGGTTCCCAAAACCATTGTGGGTCTGCAGACACAAGGCAGCCGAATCATTGTCAGTGATATCCGCGAGAGTGTCACCTACGTCGTCTACAAGTACCAAGATAACGTCTTGATTCCCTTCGCGGATGATTCTATCGCACGCTGGACATCGAGTACAACCATGGTTGATTACGAAACCACTGCTGGTGGTGACAAGTTTGGAAATTTGTGGCTGGTCCGTTGCCCGAGCAAGATCTCTGAACAGGCCGACGAGGATGGCTCTGGGGCACACCTCATCCACGAGAAGGGTTATCTTCATGGAACTCCCCATCGTCTTGAGTTGATGGTCCACTTCTTCGCCCAGGATATCCCCACTAGTCTGCACAAAACCCAGTTAGTCGCTGGAGGCCGTGACATCGTTGTCTGGACCGGCCTTCAAGGCACAATTGGCATGTTTGTTCCTTTCGTCAGCCGTGAAGATGTCGACTTTTTCCAGCTTTTGGAGACGCAGCTGGCTTCTCAGCAACCTCCTTTGGCTGGACGAGACCATTTGATGTACCGCGGCTACTATGCCCCTGTCAAGGGCGTTATTGATGGGGATCTTTGCGAAATGTATCTCCTGCTGCCTAATGATACCAAGTTGATGATTGCGGGCGAACTCGATCGATCTGTCCGCGAGATCGAGCGCAAGATTTCGGTAAGTTTGCTGAGTTTTCTTGCTGGTTTCTATCTTGTCGTTTTATTAACATCTCCCAGGATATGCGAACACGGGTGGCGTATTGATTTCGGGTTGGTTGCGGCGTCCGTTGGCGTTCCTTGCTGCCCTGTATACGGGCTTCAGATACCTACATCTTTGTTAATGGATGATGATTGTGCGGCTTTGAACCACGACTAATTTTCGACTGACGCTGGTTGCCTTCGCAGTGTACTACAGAGAACCTCCCTTTCCCCCAGGCTATCTTAAGCCACGTAGATTCTTTCATGATGTCTCTTGCCTCGCTCGGTCTGCCGTTTCCTCTCGGCTAATCTTGAGCTGGATGCAGTCGGTCACTTAAAAGTGCTGACTTGTACGAGACAAGATGAAGCGTGAAAACGCGTCGACGCTTTTTGAGTACGATTTGATCCGCAATGCACCACGGGTCTGCGTCGTAATTTATCAGTTGGGACAAACTTGTAAATCTTTTTTTTTTTTCAAAAACGGCTAACCAAATGAAACCCACTTTATTCCAAATACTCGACGTGAGCGAAGTTTCGATCTCCACTCAGTTGTTTCATTCTGACAAGTTCATCAATTTGGCATCCCTCTTCTTTATGTTTAGCTAGAAAGTAGATGGTGTCAATTATGCAAGTAGAAAAGCAACAAGGATATCTCATCGACAAGGCTTTTGACGTCCGTTCAAGAGTCTGATGCATCTTGTCCAAGTTGAGATTATGGACGATTACTTTGTAAGATAACTCTCCAACATGTATGAATGTCTTTTGAAAGATGTGACGAGCTACAAACTACCACATGGAAAATGCGGTCAAATGCACAACTTTTATGTACATAACTCAAATCTCAGATCACCTGACGATCAAAGTTCTCGAGGTCGGTCTCCCGACAACTTCTATCGAATTGCGCCATCGAAGCTCCTTTCTCTCCGACTGTTTACTCCGATACTCCGGGAAAATAAAAGAAACTTGGCATAGCCAAACTCTCGGTTATGACCGGAAATCTCTGGGGCCAAAGCTAGATCCGGGTTCCATCGTTTCTTCTCCGCGGGAAAAAAAAATATTCATTTTTGTCCTTCATGTGTGAGCAACTGAAGGCCTCGAAAATGGACTATAGAGTGTTGCCAACGCAGCAAAGCCAAACGAAATCTTGCTTTGAAATCGACCCTGGTCATTCTAATAGAGTTCTACGGCATATCACGATGATTGGCTACTTCTACGAGCACCGAAGCTTGGGCGTCGGGGAATGTGGACCGGCCTATGGAGTCCAAAGGGCGTGCATGTTGTAGTAAGGCGCACTCCACTTTTTTCCCCTTGACCCATGGAGTTTGTACTCCGTACTTCTTTGGAAGTTGACTCGGTTGGCTTTAGTCTGAATGGTTTGGATAATCTAGGTCTGGAAAAGAGGAAAATTGCAGTATTCCTTGCGTATGTCTAGATCTGGCTTTCAATTCCTTGATGAAACCCAATTGAAATGTGTCACTTTGAACTAAAGTGGTGGTCTTTCTGTTCGATGCCCTTGGAATGTCAATCCAAGGGCGTGCATGAGCAAGAACGGATCCTCGCATCCGACCAATCGCCCTCTGAGCTTCGATGACTCTCTGGCTCGGCTGAACACTGAAGTGTATACTGGTCGGGGGGGGGGGGGTTTAAGGATTTTGGGTGGATTACCGTGATCCGAAGTATATTGTAGCGTCTTTTGACTTGTGAGTCACTGAAAGCTGATAAGAACCCTGGGAGAATGTCTGATGAGGCTATGCGAAACTTTTGCTCACATTGTCAGGATTCTTTCACTTATTTGGACTCCATTGCGGTTGTCAACGGCTCCACCGTTTACTATATTTTTTCTTTTTTCCTCCCTTCTTCTCTACGATCGAACCTGATCCTTATTGAACCTTCTTTTGGATATCCCATCTCTCAATTTGGACGTCTCGGCTGCTATTTTCCCCTTGCGTTTCTTCTTGGGCCTTTCTACTCTTTTGGCTTTCACCCGTGAAACCATGTCGACGACTTCAATTTACAGCGCTGGCTCGGACAGGCTAGATGCCTGGACCCGACGATCACAGCCTAAAATCGAAATCCAAATCGCAGGACAAAAGCCAGGGCATGTCAACTCCTACACCACCGCAGAGAGGATTGATGGCAGTGTAATCGTTGCCGTTGACCACGAGACTCGATTTGATGAGATTGAGATTGTCTTTGAAGGTATTTAGCATTGACACCCGGCCTAAAGGAAATATTAATTTGATAAAAAGGTGTTTCTACCACTACGGTAGAACGGTCATCATGTCCCGGCCGCACGGGATCGCAACAGATGTTTCTCAAGTTGCGTCAGCCCATTGATGAAATGGAGTACCCGACCCCTCGAGTCCTAGAGAGTGGCCGGTCATATAAATACCCCTTCACCTTTGTCGTCCCAGACCGTCTGCTGCCCCAGGTTTGCACCCACGCCAAGAAGAATGCTCACATTCAACGAGCCCACACGCTACTTCCGCCAACGGTGGGTGATCCCATCCTTGCTAGCAATGGTAAGACACTACTAGATGATATGGCACCTAGTATGTCCCAGATAGGGTACACGGTTCGAGCATCTGTTCTTCAAAAACAACTCGCCGGCCGTGGACGCGTGGCTATCGCCGCAACTGCGAAGAAAGTCCGGATCATCCCAGTTGTCGGAGAAGAACCTCCTGTTGAAATCTCCACAAGCCCATCCTTTTGCGCACGCAAAGAGAAAAGTGTCAAGCGCGGAACGTTACGAGGAACGTTGGGACGGATTGTCGCTGCATCTTCCCAGCCCAAACCCATTCAATTGCTTCCTCCAGACGGCGAGCCAACTGATGCCGTGAGCACCGTGGCTACCGTAAACTTACGATTCGATCCAGTCGGCGACGAGCAACCTCCTCCACTGGGAAAATTGACCAGCAAACTCCGCGTCCATACATTCTTCAGTGCAGCCCCATGGGAAGACTTCCCTTCGACGACCGGCATGCCCTTTGCCCAAATCGGATGCGGCCTGTACACAGAAAGTGTACCTCTGTTGACCATGTGTGTTGCATCCGCTCAGTGGACCAAGCAATCGACAGCCGCCAACACGATGCGCCACGACTCCACCGACTCATCCTTATCGGATTCACCAGCCGGTCCGTCCTCCGCATTCACCGGAGACACCTACTACACCGCCTCAATCGTTGTCCCCATCACCCTGCCCAAGTCGAAAGCATTCATCCCGACTTTCCACTTCTGTCTGATGTCTCGCACCTACGCTCTCGACCTCTCCTTGACATATCACACCCCAGCAGCCAACCTCATGACACCGAAAATCTCCCTCCGTCTGCCGGTCCAGGTCACGAGCCAGGCTAAGCGCGCTGAATCCTTAAAGACTGCGCTCGATGTCACTGTCACACAGCAAGAACTAGACGAGTTCTTCTACCCGCGCAATGTGACTTCTCCCACCCATTTTTCGAATCTTGCTCGTAGTGATGTGATTGACGTGGGCTTTGCTCCACCGAAGTACTCGGAGCAATTGAGCACGCCGAGAGCCCGCTAAATTATACGAGATGTGGATCCCATGTTCCCGCTCGTTTGTTAATCGCCAACCAATACCCCTAATCTACGTTGGCCAATGAAAAAAAGCCTCTTTGTACATGTTTCACATGGTTATGACTGTTGAAATCGTTGTTTCGATTATACCCTTTGGTTCACAGAATCTCTTGTTTGAGGTCATTTAGATATTTATCTTAGCCTGTTTATTTCCTCTTGGTTTCGTTGGATTCTTTCACACATACATGGCTGATAGCCCTAGTCTTGATCTTTGTCTTTCAAACGTATATGCTTCAGGAAGTCTTACGTCCAGCTCCACCGTGCAAATGAAGGGGGGGAACAGAATGGCTTTGCAAGATTGGCTGGCTACCAAGCTAGAATCACAAACAGTATGTCGTAACTTCAGGATACTGAACTGGGAGCAGACAAGGCATTACTGTAAAGCGTGTGTTGATTTTAAAAAAGGACAAAGTCCGAGGTGCATGCTGGAGATAACAAAAACGAAATTCCTCAATGCTTGGGATGCATTAGAACACATGTACAACCTTAAGAGAAGATTCAGTGATGTATTTGAAATGTGATAGAGCACTAGAACGGACAATTGTTTTTCTTGCTACATCTTTGTTCTATATCTATCTCCTGAATCCTCTACAACCCGATGATCATAGCCTTGGGCTCCTAGGTCCGAGGGTCTACAATGCCCGTGGTAAAACCCCCCCGTCCGCAGTTGTACAGGCAGTTGCAGGCCACATGGCTACCTTCGACTCTCCTAAATCAACCCAACTCGGTGATTCTCACACATTCACTCCCACTACCACACACCTGAAACGAAAGCAGACTAGTGATAGCACACGGAAAGACGAGCAAAGAGAGCACCAAGCCCTAAACGAAAGGGTCAACCAAAACCTGACACCAAAGTATGGTTCAGAGTTGATCTCGATGGGACCAATAACACAGTTTGTCCACGGAAAGAGAAGCCGATCAATGGAAACTCGTATCGGTTGTGGGAGGACTGATTCGAGGACAGCATTCAGCAGCCTCCAGAAGGAGAAAGGATGCCGTCTATGGACGAGGCAGAGGTACTTTGATCTGAATGCTCCCGTCCACACGCTGATTCAGGCCCAAGTCTCGACCTACAGGTGAGCGGATCCTTGAGATCGAACGGATTGTGAAATAGGCTATCCATGACTGCCATAAGACCCGGAACACCTGGCCAAGTATTGAAAATGGATTGGAATGAAACAGGGAAGGGATCCGTTATCTCGCATTACACAAGTCTATGGATGTAAGAAGATACCACTCCATAGATCTCCGCATATTCTGCGTTGCACTGCTTGCAAGGTACAAAGTAAGGACCGAGACCCCCCTCCCCCCCCGAGGAATCACCGGTTCATTTAAGTATATTTGAATCTTCAATCCTGTAAGATTCCAACCCAGCATACCCCAAGTCCAACTCTCCACTAGGTTTACTTGCTACTTGGAATTCCACCATGCCGGTCAAGATGTTCGTCTTTCTGTACCGCAGCCCTCATCTGACACCGGAAGAATTCAAGAAGCGCTACGAAGCGCACATCAAACTGGTCAAGAAGCTAGCAGGCGCAGATTTCCCTCTTTCTCATCATCGAAATTATATCTCCCGCAGTACAATTGAGATTCCCCCAGATGGCTCCACCACACGCAACGCCTTTACCCCGGCTACTATATTGCGCGGGAGACAGGCAGACTTTGACTTTGACGCCTACGCCGAACTCACGTTCGCGAATCAGGCTGCTTATCAGGCCTTTGCGGCCAAGATATATGCTCCGGATGCCGCTGCTCAGATGACTGCTGATGAGGATAAGTTTCTGGATCGGCTGAAGATGGGAATCGCCTTGGTGGGGGAGGTGAGGGTTACTGTGAAATGAGGGACTTTGATTGGAGCTTGCTGGAGTATGCTGGAGTATGCTGGAGCTATTGGAACCTCATCAGACTTGTGGCGATGTATGGTGGAAGTCCTGTTCGATCACACGGCATACATTTGGATGTAGCATCATTCTATTTGGGGATATTCCCAGAAATCTAGTATATGTGCAGTGAAATTTTGACGTTCAAGTCTATCTCTAAGATGTTGAATCGATAAATTTGTTTCCTCGGTCACATTTGAATCCCCAAATTGCAAAAGAACCAAATAGATGCAGTCAAGCCACATGAGGAATTTCTCCCTTCATCCGATGATGGGATCCTGTTCTTTGCATCTTCAACCCATCGGCATAGCCTATGACACATATCCCCGTCACATGCTCTGCATGTTACATTGGCGTTTATCCTTCTCACAGGGACCGTTCCTGCAGCCCAAACCGGGTACATTGATCTTTGTCTGACTGCATATCCCTCGACCCTAAAGTGGAAACTTTCACATCAACTTCATTCAACGTGATACTACCACTCAGTTACATTCAACACGGGTCCTACTGTGGAGAGTGGGCTGCAACGTCCAAAGATGGAGCGTTTAGTTGCGAATCATTTGATTTGCTCCGGGCTATATTCCTCCATACTGACGATGTATGAGCAGTGGATTGCATATGACAGTGTCACCCATCCTCAGGAGTCTCCTGGACTGATTGGCTGGGGAATCTTTTAGCCCCCCACGAGGACAGACAGTCGAGTTGTAGCAAAGGGATCCTAAATCCTAGAATGTTACACACTTAGATAGTGTGCCCTGCAGTTAGCATCCACTCTCGAATGGGCTCTTCATATACAGTAAATGCCAGAATCTGATATTGAGACAGTGAAGAGAATGAGCTGTGGTGCTGCTTAATTCGTCGTGGGCCCTCGACCGGAAACTTCTAACTCTCCTATTGACCATGTAAAAAACCACCCGTTGCCTAAGTTGTTTGAGTGTGAAAACTTTCCAGAATCCCATTGATCCCTCCGATATCCAGACTGAAACGTTGAAGACCCCTGGGTATTGAGCAAGTCACCCTATTAGGGAACAGGGTCCCAACTACCCAGTTGGGATTGTAGACAAATGGACTGAAGGGACTGGACAGTTACTATTGTCCATCTCAATACTCCGAGGAGATCATTTGTTTGTCGACTTCGACTACAAATAGTGAGGTCATCTCCTTCTTCCTCGAGTTCAACACACCATCATCCCCCCTCGCTGGCCCGAGACATCCAGAAACTATCTCAACCCACTCCTTCATCATGCAAATTGTCATTCCTTTCCTTTTAGGCCTGAGCTGGCTCGCCAAAGCTGCCTACATTCCTGCCCTGAGCACCAACAGCACTGGGATGGTATCTCGTGACGTTGGCGGGTACCGCTCGGTGGCATACTATGTGAACTGGGTAAGTTCAGACCCGAACGAGTAGGGTCACTCGATCTCACTAGATGAAACTGGAGATATAAGACAGGTCATCTAAAACATACAAAAGAAGGAAGGCACGCTAATATCAGACTGCTCAGGCCATCTACGGTCGTAACTTCCAACCCCAGAATCTCCCCGTCGAGCGACTGACTCATGTGCTTTACGCATTTGCCAATATCCGCCCCGGCACAGGCGAGGTCTATCTATCGGACGCCTGGGCGGACACGGACAAGCACTACCCAACTGATTCTTGGAATGATTCTGGTACCAATGTCTATGGTTGTATCAAGCAGCTCTTTCTTCTCAAGAAGAACAACAGCAGGCTCAAGGTTCTTCTGTCGATTGGAGGCTGGACCTACTCTCCCAGCTTCGCTTCTGCCTTTGAGACCGAGGCTGGACGACAGAAGTTTGCTGATTCTGCGACGGAGCTGTTGAAGAACCTTGGCCTGGATGGTATTGATGTTGATTACGAGGTAAGTCCGCCACAGTTGCCATGGGAGATTCTTTTGAGGCTGATGAAAATTATAGTACCCTGCAAATGACGACCAGGCAAACCAGTTTGTCGACGCACTCCGAAGACTGCGTGGGGTGTGTGATCCCGTCAAGATCCATGAGCTTTGGCTAAAATGAAACTCAGGCTTTGAATTCCTACAGCGCGGGCAACGCCCAGGGCTATCATTTCCTGCTTACTGCCGCATCTCCCGCGGGCGAGTTGTATCTCCGTCGTTGAAACATGTCACTAGAGCTGACACAATCCCAGGCCCACTTCACTACCGCCAAGAACGCCTGAATGAGATGGACCAGTACTTAGATTTCTGGAATCTCATGGCCTATGACTACTCCGGTAGCTGGGACACAGTTGCCGGCCACAATTCCAACCTCCACGGGTCGACCGAAAACCCGTCCAGCACCCCATTCAACACGGATCAAGCAATTGACTACTACACCTCGCAAGGCGTCGCCGCCAACAAGATTGTGCTAGGCATGCCCCTGTATGGCCGAGCGTTTACTAATACCGACGGTCCCGGCAGGTCGTACACTGGTGTTGGAGCAGGCACATGGGAGAATGGCGTGTGGGACTACAAGGGCCTGCCCCTGACAGGCTGTGCCGTGACCGTCTTGGATCAACCGGGTGCAAGCTACTGCTACAACCAAGACAGCCGTCTGTTTGTTAGCTATGATACGCCTGAGATTGCGCGTCAGAAGGCGCGGTACATCCAGTCCCGCGGACTTGGCGGTGGTATGTGGTGGGAGAGCAGCTCTGACAAGACGGGTGGGGAGAGTTTGATTACAACTGTATGTCAGCCTCTAGCATTGGTACCCGGCTCAAACTCTCATTTTACTGATCTGAACACAGGTTGTTGATACACTTGGAGGTGTTGGCGCTTTGGAGCAGAGTGGCAATCAACTCCACTACCCTGAGTCCAAGTACGTTAACTTGAAGAATGGTTTCCCCTAGGCTAGCTTATTATTTTCGCTGTCGATATTGCAAGAAGCTATCTGGCTGACATGTGGATTGGGACAATTGTGGCTGTTATGTGACATGGGCATATCCGATCAGCCTCGATGGGTGGGATTGCGCCGCTTGCTTCTGCATCTATCTTACAAAGGATCTGTTCATTGAAAAATCCACAAAAATACGATCAAAGATCGAACCTTGGTTCACTTTGCCATGCAGATCAGATGAAGTTCATATTAATTGAAACAGGGAACGTCTCGTAGTATGTGCTTCCGGTATCTGCCACTTTCAGGATACTCGGAAATAGTATTTAGAAGTACTCACCCAGAGCAATCATCACACCAATGAGTACAAGATAGCCAACCGCCTATGATAGAGGGTGGCTGGATGGCCGAAATGCCTTCGCGGACATGCAAGTTCGAAACTGCGCAAGGCAAATAGCCTAGTTAAAAAAAAAGAGGAAGGAACAAGATCTCCGCCGTTTCAGATGATTAGGAGGAGGGTGGTATTGTTTCGACACAGCGAGAAGAGCAATAGCCCTAGAAATGCTACCGGGTACATTAAACAGGGACTCAATCTGTGTGCTTCAATGCTGTTCAACTGTACTAAGTCTCTGGACCAGAATCTTTTGGTGGAACAACGGATGTAGGGTCATGGCTTGATCTCTGCTCTTGATGAGGTGCTTTTTCACGACAATTCAGGCGGTTGTCCGATGTACTTTGGTTTTATCAAAGGGAGACACTGGTCAGGATAGTTCATCCCATGCATGTAATTTGTTCCATTGAGAATGAGATCCATCGCAACAAGCAGATCGATTTGAAAGGTCTATCTTCGTGTCCTTGTATCTCTTATAGTTCACTAAAGAGAGAACGAAGATATTCATTAAACAGCCAGCTGTTGATGCCCAAGTGATTTAATTCTCCTAAAATTGAGTGATAGCTACCTTTGGGGAAACATTGGATCTTCGAACGCCCAATAGCGAGGACATGGATTTGTCAGAAGATGGGATGGAGATTTTGAGGAATCACACTTTTATTCGCCAATAGTCATAATGCATCCATGTATTAACATGACCTCTCTCGGGCGAGAGAGGGTGATGCCTAGGAATTGATCTGTATGGCCTCGCGAGGATAATGTCTTTGTAGCCAATTAAACTGGTCGTTCGCGAGCATAATCGGCACGCCATCATGGTCCACTGTGATGCGATGACCAAGTACAGAGTGACACATGCGGGGGGGTCCTTTTGGTTAAATAGGAGAGGAACACACAACCCCCTCCTTTCGCTCCGAAGAAAAAGATACCATCGTTCCTGTAATAGCTTCGAGTTTACACATCTACAATGTCGACTACTCAACCACCAGACGCGACGAAGCCTCGCAAGTCGCTCATCCTCAATGCCTTTGTGGAAATGTGTATGCCCAGGCCCGTTTCACGGGGGAAGATCCCAAGTCCTAACAATCACAGGCAGCGGCCATCAATCGCCAGGACTCTGGCGCCACCCCGAAGATGAGTCGCATCGCTTCAATGATCTCGACCACTGGGTCGAACTGGCACAATTACTCGAGTCGGCCAAGTTCCATGGCATTTTCATCGCAGATGTCCTTGGTAACCACAGTAATTCTGACTTCCTTCCAGGGAGTGATTCTGACAAGTGATCCTTGTAGGTGGATACGATGTCTATAAAGGACCCCAAAACCTCGATCCGGCAATCATCTCCGGTGCGCAATGGCCAGTGAATGAACCACTGGCTGTTGTTCCCGCGATGGCGGCGGCTACGCAGAACATTGGATTTGGAGTGACGGTCACAACAAGCTACGAGCAGCCATATCATCTTGCGAGACGATTATCTACGGTCGATCATCTGACTAAAGGACGGTACGTGGTTTGAGGTATCGTGGGGGGAAACGTGCCGCTAACGAATTTGTCTGATAGCCTGGGATGGAACGTGAGTCGCACGCTCAAATCGAAGACCAGGAACCCGGAAGAACTCCATGCTAATAGTCATCCGCAGGTGGTAACAGGATACCTCGATTCCGCAGCGCGTAATATGGGCCAAGCTGAGCAACCCCACGTAAGACCTCACATCCTTCACCTAGACGTCGATAGTCTACTAATTGAACCCCC